CGTAAATGGTTTATCACTGGTGATTCTCAAGCCTGCCATGTCTGCAGCTAACAGCTCCTACCAGTGGTATTCCTGGGGGCCACCTAACCTGCAGTGTCGCTTGTGCGCCTCCTGCTGGACCTACTGGAAGAAGTATGGTGGTCTGAAGATGCCGACTCGGCTGGACGGCGAGCGGCCGGGACCCAACCGCAACAACATGGTAAACGCGTCCGGCCCGGTGGGAGTGTAATGACTCGGGTGCCGTAATGACGTAGGCGGCTGCTACAGGCATTGCACGCTGTTAAAACAGATATACGGCAGCGCGCTGCCGACGTCCAGCTGTAAATTCCGGAATACAAAGGCAAACAACATAGACAAAAACACAAACGTCTATGAAAAGAAACTGACACTTCAATTAAGGTAACAGGTCCAACCATATGTGTTTAGGATAATTTCCTGGCATTTTCTGTCATTGGGTTACTTTTCGCGCGTTTATTTCTTTTGTACATTATAATTTTGTCGCAAGAACTGTAATAATTAGTAATGCTGTTTTTCACCCATAGTTTACTGACAATTGCCACATTAGAACTTGCTAATTCGTCACCAGCGCCCCCTGCTGGTGAATCAAAATGTTGTCGAACTACTGTAAACTGGAGACTCCCCTTTCAGACGCTGCATCAAGCCTGACTCAGTGACTGTTTGGTTGTCAGTGCATTTAATGCATTGTGTTGTGCTGGGCAATGTGATACCTTCATAAAAGCTCCTTCTAAGGGATCTTAATTGTACCTTCTAAGAATGACTGGGGTCCATGGTTTTATGCAAATATATACATATATTCAGGGCTTGCTGAATTCTATGTACTTTCCTCTCTCCTTTTTTCTTACTGGTTTATCTATGCGGATCAGCTTCGACTGTCAAAGCATCTTAGGCTATACTGTGTGATTTTGGATTCAAGAAAATAAGATAATTAAGGATCTTCCACAAAGAATTTATGGTGCAGTATTTGCATTGAATTCCTTTTGATTGGTTATAATTACTTTTTTTTTGTCACTGCTTATTAAGATGTCTGTTATAAAAAGTGCACATTTCACATTCAAATTCTCAATGGTTAATTTTAAGCAATTAGCTTGATTTATACTGAGCAATAATGGGTCTCCTTTCTTAAAAGATCTGCCATAGAATTTGGAGTTTCAGGATTACAGTTGCCACACACTTTCTGTCTCCAATTAAGATTAATCAGTGAGCATTCATCTAATATAAAAAGTTCTAGAAAGACACACACCCAAGGTTACATGTTATGACTACAGACGTTCACACAAAGCTGGAAGAAAAACATGCTCTTTAAAAAAAATCATTTGTTTTAAAAATCTTTAGAAAGCTGGCTTACTAAGAATGTGCCACTTGCACCCAGACCTGCTATAAATGAGTTCTTTTGTATTATATAATTGTAATTGATCATTGATTATCTTGTAGTTTATAAATGTGTAAGTGGTGAATATCTTAGCAATTTCTGTACATAAGCATGCTGTCTCTGTTCTGTACTGACCCCAGAGCCCCCACAGCTTGCCAATGAGACACAGCGGAAGTCCCAAATTTGCCGTCAAAACGCGGCAGGCGTTTTACCTGCAGACGTCCCAGCTGACGCGGGCGGCTCGGCGCGTCTGCCTGGACCTCCTACGCCCTAAATACCTGGCCCGTCACCCCTACACGCCAGTGAACACCACCGCCATCAGGGCAGAGTGTGAGAACTTCCCTCGACCTACCGTTTCAAAACCAGGAAGAGTTTGGGTTCCGGATTTCCTGACGCCAAATGCCCCTTTGGACTGTGAACTGTATGGTTGGCCCCTAAGTGTGGATGCTCTTCCCCCTCATCCGGGTATCAGGGCCGCATACTTGTCAGGCATCATCATCATCAGTGTGTTGTGTGTTCGTTTCCTAACAGGTGCAGTGAAGTTGCCCGAGATGAACAAGAACCCCGTCTCGACAAAGCAGGCGACAAGGAAGCCACTGGAGTCTGTGGTGCGATATTTAGGTAAGAGGTGACAGTGGTACTGTGTCTGAACTGTACAGTGATGCACTGCAGCCTGCTTTATAATGTTAGTGTTTTATTCTGGTACCTTCCTGCTGTAGTATCATTAGATATGATTCAGAATAGGCTACTTGCTGTCTAGTTTTCATACCGTAATACCGTCCAGACAGCATACTGCGGTGTATGGTATTTCCCAACATTCCTTCGGGATTAATAAAGTGTGTGTCTGTCCGTCCTTCCTTCCTTCCTTCCGTCCTTCCTTCCTTCCTTCCTTCTGGTATTTCTGAAAGCAATGCTATCCACTATCATAGTATTTTGAAATCTTGGCCATAGCATTTGGCCGTTTGCCAAGCGTGGTTCTGCGATGATACAGTTTTGTATAAATTTCACCCAGCTTGCTGGTGACCACATTACAGCGTAACACATGCCATATCGCGACACGCGTCTGTATCGTACAAAGAGCCGGTTTCGTCAAATCTGTAGAGTCGGAGAAAGAGCCAGCTTCAAAATTAAAACCATTAACTTCAACTGAACTTTACATCGATTATGTTGATCTTATAAATGTGATATGAATGCCCACTTTCGTCTGCATGACACCGTCCTCAATCAGAGGCCCACCCCTGCCCGCCCAAACCAGACCCGCCACGCTGCACTGGCATCTCTACAGGAAGTCTGACACCCATTAAATCCTCGCCGATCCTCAACACCGGCTCACCCACCATTCTGGGGAAGAGGACCTACGAGCAACACAACGGCCTTGACGGTAAGTAGGAAAGTGTTGAGTAAATGAGGAGTAGCTCTGCTTTTTCTTATGGTGCTTTCAGTATAGAGACTCCCCCCTCCCCCCTTCGATCCTGACTGTTCTCCTCCTCACTCTGCCTAATCTCGGAGTAGCACTTTGCTGCTCTGGTGAACCTCCTGGCCACAGTTGGTGTAGTCATGGTAACAGCAGTATGTTTCTGGCTCTCCGATGGATCCGTGTGTCCAGACGGGTACGACCCTCCCTTACTTGCATCGGCTGAACCTGTTATAGACAATGTGACCCAACAGAACCACAGTGCTTATTCTGAGCCTGTGTGAAGGTCTTTTTCTATCACAGTCATTTGAAGCTCAGTCTGTAATCGCTTGTTAATGAAGAAAAAAAAAGAGTATTAGACATGTGGTTATTATGTCTAATTCTAGGTACGTACAGACCAGTGTGCATCAGAATATATATTTTTATTTCCTTTTTTTTAATTTTAAAGCATTAGAATATTATACATCCATTTACACATCCTTACTGGGGTACGGTCTTGGCTCCAGTGCCCATCTGTGGTGCTATTTTCTGGGTGAAACATGAGATTGGAGTGAGGGATGATGACTGTTCTTTTTCCGTGTTTTTCTAGATTTTTCCAGCAGGGGGGAGAACTCCTATAACTATTTATGTAGTTAAATGTGATGGGAAAATGTCTACAAAAATATTTATTCGTGCATATATTTAAAAGATTTGATTCAATTATGATTATTTCTGGAATAATTTAATGGATCAGAAATCTTTAATTTCTACCACAATTTAATTTGATCAATTGATTAATTTGACAACCTAAATGAAAGTAAAAGTATGACCTCAGGAACTTTAATTACACTCTATTAATGAAATACAAAGTACAATCTCAGAACATTCATTTTTATCATTATTATTGAATGGGGGAGAACAAGCCAGTGTAAATTGTCAGAAAGGCCAACAATGAACAAAGTAAGGAAGCGGTATCTGATTGGCCGTTTTCCCCTGGGCTAACCAATTATTTTTTGTCTAATTTTGCTGATACCGATAACCAGCTAACCTCTTAGCCACTCGCCGGGGGGTGAGGAGGGGTGTCTGCAGTGAATTATAATACATTATAAGGTCCAGGCTTTTCAATCATTAACATTTTTAGGGGTGATGTGGTTCCAAAAAAAAACAAACAAAAAAACAAAAGCACCATGACTAGCACAGTTGCTCACCAGGAAGATTGTGAAAAGACGTTTGTTGAGCATTAGTGACGTGCTGTAAATGATCAGGTCTGTGTGTGAACATAAGAACATAAGAACTATACAAACGAGAGGAGGCCATTCGGCCCATCGAGCTCGCTTGTGGGTCTGATGAGAATTTAATCCATTGATTTCGGATTTTCAGATAATCAGGCATCACATGAGGTTTTCTGACCAGCTGAGATGTGCCAGCTGTTTAAAGCTTAAACTCTAAAAATGCTAATAAAATTCAATATTCCCTCTAGGTAGTGTTTCATTTGTTTCTCTACATGTTTTGTTAATTATGTGGTTTTTAACCTATTATTGCATTGCTAGCTGGTCTTTTAACATAATCTATTATGGGTTTGTATAGCTGGAAGAAGCCAGCACCTTTAGTCATTGCTGCAGTATGTATTTGGGGGTGTGCATGCAGTTGTCATGTTACCATCTTTTTCAGTATTTTCCATCCTCATGTTTAATGGAACTTATTTCATGTTTAATGGGACAAGTCTTTCATAATGTCCCAAACCAAATGTCTTGAAACTGTACCTTCTGTACATTTGATACTGATTTATACAGGAGTTTCTTGGCAAAACAATGCTGATTAAGTACTTTGTTCAATGGTAAGGTCTCTCCTGGAAAGATGTGGCCTTCAAACGATTAGGTAAATACAAAAATTGAGATTTTAGCAGCACTGTGGGTCGTACTGATTATGTTTGGATGGAAGCTGAAGCTTTTTTTTGTATTTGTGTAACTGTTTTTTTTTTTCCTTCACTGCTGGTCCAGGAACAAAGCCCAAGATCAAAGCACCTCAATGGGAGATCATGTCCAAAAGGGCATCGGACCCAGGGCGCACCTCTGCCCCCCAGCGTGAGAAAGTCCACGAGCTGGACTGATCCTCCTGGGGGGCTTTTTTTTTGAGACTTGAAGCTTGATATCTGGGAGGAATCGAAGTATACGCCATTTGATTTGAAATGTCTGGGCCTGTGTTTTACCTCAGCAGGGAATATTTTGAAGAACTTTTCAATGCCAGACACCAGTTTTGCATAAACACTTCCAACCAGATGCTATTCTGCCTCTGCAGCTCTGGCTCTCACTGAACATCATCTAAAAGAACCAATATCACCCAAGAGCCGATCCCAGCTCTGGACCATCATATGACTGATCAGACTGCAAGGGACCATGCTCATAATTACCATTGTTGTTAATCGTCATTGTAATTATTATTGTTATTTTTATCAGTTATAATACTTCCTGATGAGTTAACAGTGGATCAACGAAGAGACTTTGAGTTTCAAAAAATGAACTTCTTGCATATCCTGTGAATGGAAGGACTTATAAACCATGCAACACCTTTTTTTTTTTAACATGTTAAAGTGATTTTAAAATGAGACAAACTTTGAGTTCAGTGACATGAGTAACTTTCTCTTCATTTCTCTGGAGCTTTTACATTCTTCTGTTTTATCGACTGTCCTGGTCCCTGGCCAGAGAGGTTTAACTTATTATGACAAATTATAAAATGTGTTGTTTTTTCTACCTTTTTCACAACTACTGCATCTGACGTTCAACCATGTAATTAAGGAATAAATTGATTCTTTCTTTTTTGTGATTCCATTCATTCTAGACTGGATCACTGTGTTTTCTGAGGCCTTACTTCACCAGACACATGTTCTGGCCAAAGTGATGTGCCCTATATAGATATTTGCTTTTTACTATGGGTTTTGCTATTTATAGTCGAAGGTCTCAAAATTCAGGTCGCGTCAAGGACTGGGAGGAATAGGTTATGAGGGCAACCGGAGATTCATTAAAATGTTGTGGTGACACCTGAGTATCTGTTCATCTCCAGACACCAAAATAAATCGCAAGTTATAGCATGGGGGTCAATTTTTAACCGAACAGTTTTGACCACATTGCGTAATTTAGATAGGAAAAACAGTTGATGTTGAAGACTTGGTTATAAATGCATAGATAAAATATAGATATTAGGATTTTATATGAGCTAGAGTTGCACTGCGTACCTTTCCAGTCATGACTGGAGGATGACCTTTCTCACCCTTAATTAACCACGATAGCCACTCAGATGCTCCCCCCAGTAACCTAATCCACCCACCCCCCAGTCCCATCACTGCTCACTCCTGAAATATTCATACCGCACGGAAGGTCACTGGCTATACTTTCTGTGACCATACATTGTGGTTCAATGCTCAAATTCACACTGAAACCAAACCAGAAATTTTGACGTTTCAGTCCGGGCCTTTGGAGACGGGTGCAGAAGATCTCTTGTTTTATCTGCGAAGAAGCTGGACTCAAAAACTTGCTTCTCAAATGAGAAGTACCTGGTCAAATGATGGTTAGTGCAGTTTCAGTCGACGTTTAGCTACTTCACCTCTTTTGCATACATAGTTAAAAACACTGGCCAAGATTATCACATTATAATTTGCACATCACCATAGCTACAGTAATTACAAATCCAGCATTACGCATCAACCCCTGGGAGGTAAATAGTAGCTATATTGTACGTTTTTTTTCTGGGGGAAAAGAACCATTGTAACTTTTAAACAACGGCTCTGTCCTTGAATTCATGAAATAGTCCTTGAAACAAGTCCGTCATGTTCAGTTAACCTGTAAGGCTTTCTAAATTTAAATGGAAAAATTGATAATTATTCAATTCATTTATTTTTTCCGTGCAAAACGGGGGGAATATTTTATTAAGTAATCAGATTAAATTGAAGTACTGGAGAGAAACACTATTTCAGCTACATACATAGTTACACACGTATTTAAAGGGGCAAACACCACCTCCAAACGTCCACATAATCAGTGTTAAAAATAATATACTGATTAAGGTAACACCTGTTCAATAAAAGTTACATTTTGTATAGCTGTCACTTGTAAGACTCATCCCGATTACACAAAATACTAATAAATATATAAAATACATTATATATAAACATTATATGTAGAATATCTGATATATGAACATAGTGCATGCTCTGGAAGGCGCTCGGTGCAGCCCTGAAGCAGTTAAACGAAGAGGCGATAAGCCGGTTGGTGGCCAATGCCGCTTAGAGCCGGTGCTGCTGGTGCAGTGAAGGAAAATGTGTCAATTTTCATTCAGCGAGAGGCGACAAAGTGCAGCGACCGCCGGGCAAACACACAACGGCGGGAAGCTGCGTTTTGCTCCCCGGTAAAACATCAGAACAAGGAGAATCCCAGGCTAGAAACCAAATTCGCATCAGACGTGCTTAATGCTTCTTTTTTTTTTTAGCGTGAATTGTTATTCTGCTATGTCGTTTTAAGCAGCTTCACGCATGCTTAGCCCGACCTGCCGTATTAAGAGGTGAGTAGAATGTCACTGGCAACAGATCAGCTGAATGCCGTTCGTGTCTCCGTGAAAGTGCCTGGATGTCCGCAGTGTACAGCCTGACTGCCGCTGTAGGATATATGCATGTCCGTGGAAGCCCCCTGAGCCGAATTCCGACCGCAGAGTCCGAGTCCGACGCGCCCGTCCGCCTGTCGCCGCGCATTATGCTTGTCCGGTATAGTATCTCCTTTTCGTCCAATTGAAAAAATGGTAGGATATTGCTCAGTTAATACCTCATTTAAGGGGTTTTAAAATGTCAAATGGTAAGGAAAAAAAACAGAAAATTACATATAATATTCAAACGACATTTACCCCCTTATTAATTTAAAATGCATCGCATTTATGATTCAGTGTACCTAATGTTTAGTTAATAGAACATTTACATTCATACCTTTCATGTAGCATGAATTGTAATCGGGAATAAAGGGGTTTTAGCTATTATCATTATTATTATTATTGTTATTATTATTAGGAGTCGTCTTTTGCAACATTTAAATAATGAAATACGTGCAGGTACATTAAAAGGAGTAGTAAGTTGCACGCTAAGCAGTCGCGGATTTATGATCCGACTGACGCATTGCATTGTACGGCACTTGCGGGGCTTCGGGCTGCCGCTGCGGTCTCCCTCTTCCTCTCCCTCTTCCTCACCTGGGCTCGCGCGAAGCCTCCTTACGGATGCGCCAGTGCTGTTCAAAGACGCGGCGGCGCGGCAGCTCTCTGCTTGCAGATTGGAGATGGTGCTTCCTGCATACTATGTGTTTATGCGTGAGTGTCATCTACTCGCTTGTTAGGAAAGAATTCCTAGTATACCGTTTTTAATTGCGTATTATTTACTTTAAACACTATATACTGAATTACTGTCTCATAACTTAAGAAATATGCTTTGTTATATAAGGGGAGTTTCACTGTCTTTAAGGTTGTTGTGTAGCTGCTATTGAAGGGCAGCATATGGAACACTGCAGAAACTGGAATAGACATTTAGCTTTGTGCAAGTTAATGACTTTGTGTTGTTTTTTTTTTACTGATTATTGTTATGCAAGAAACTTTTTCACAATGTTAATTGAGAGACGAGAGACTCCGGTAGGAAGTTCCTTTCAAGGTCAAGCATCCCTGCTGGGACATTTTTAAAGAAATGGTATCATAATAAGGAACTGAACTGAAACGTGTTAATTTCAGTAGCATGCAGAGGCTGGCAAGTTCAGGCAAAGGTGACAGCAAAGCTGTCTTGTTCAAAACTACAATGATAGAGTGCTGCAGTACGCATTTAATTTGCTTCTCTGATGGCTGGAAGGTTGTGTGCATATCGATGAGGGTGATTGTGCGTATGTTCCAGGGAGTTACTAGGAGGTAAGGAAGACAGTGGCACATATGGATTCAGTCTGCTTTTGTCTCCATTATTAGAACACACATGGTCCTAAATTTCTCCAGCATGACCCTCACTGGGAGTAGGCTGGACTGGCACTGACTCCTGGCAGCCAAACAGAGCTGTGGTCATCATGCACAACGCATAGGAAAAGTTAAAAATGAAATAGTGACTAATGTATATCCTGAAATAACTAATAATGTAATAGATTACTGTAGCAAATCATTTGTTGCTGCCGTTATCCCATATGAAAATGAGAAGAGAGCGGTGAGCTTGCCCAGTGGGTATCGTGCCCAGTGGGTATCGTGCCGTCGCCCCACACTGGAGGTTGTGGGTTTGACTCCCACCTCTGCTCTATTTGTAGTGTTTACTTGTTCTTCACATGCTGCATGGGCTTCTTCCTGCAGTGTAAAGCAGTGTTTCCCAATCCGATATTTCCTTTATCCTCTCTCTGCCGTGTGTAAGACCATCTCGATCTCTCGCCATTCCACTTCCTTGCATCTCACTTGCTGTCTTTGTCCAAAACTCTTCACATGTTCTCCTGTTTCCCCCTGTACATCTACAACCGATGGATTGTTTTCTAGCAAAATGAAACCAAAATGAAAATTTTGTCTCCGATATTGGTCTGATATTGGTTATCAATTCTTAGGAGCTAAGAATACTGTAGTTAACCAATCATTTTGGGCAATGTCATTTTCTATGGCTAAGAAGGTGGAGCAGTGGGCAGTACTTGGTCTGGATTTGTACTCTAATTATCCCAGGCTAAGAGCAGTGAGTAACAGTGCAGGAACGATAGTCTTTCAGCATTTTCTCCACTGAAGGAGCACCTTTGCTTTATTGGTCATCTGTACAATGTCGCTAAACTGGTGGAACCTCAATATGGCTGATTTTATCAGTCGAGCCCTGATCTAAGCAGGAGACCGTGTCATCGAGCAGGTCTGTGGTTTGATGGCGCCGCACTGATCTGCTGTCCAGATGGAGGCCATTGCTCCAAGCATGACTGAACTAAAGGGAATTTACATCTTGTTTGCTCCCTTTCATGTGGAATTTTTACATCTGCATAATTCTTGTGTTATAGGCAACTTCAGAACCAAATCATGCAAAATGATTATATTTTTTAACAAGCTGACTTTTGGGTGGAGGTGAAATTTAATGAGGGAAGGCAAGACGAAAGAACAAGCTTTATGGAATTATGAAATCAAATTAACAAGTACCTTGCATTCAGGCACGTCCTGCTCAGACTTTCTTAAAGCTTTACGAACTTGAAGCACACTAGTTTCACGTGATAAAAGCCATGTGTTATACAAACATTTTTATGCTTTTAAAAGTTTATTTAATATAGGTATATAATCGTACATCAAGTCATCGTTAAAATATCATAAACATAACCTGTATAGCTGATTAAAGATCTAAAACATTGCATTTTGTGCTAAATATTCTGAATGAGGATATTCTTCTTCCAGTGAATTTAACAACGGAAACCTAGCAACTGTGCTATATTAGGAAGGCGGTTAATTTCACAAGGGACAAGTGCAGCTCATAAGAAATAAATCCACTCTGCACTCAGCAGAGAAACGTACGACGCTGTTGCGTTTTCCTGTTGAAGGCCGGAAGAAACAAAGGAGGTAAAACTCCGAGTGGGAATCCAACAAGTATCATTGTGCTTATAGTGTTTTTCATCCTAAGTACAAATCTGGGAAATAAGTGCAGGGGAAGGTTAAGATCTCATCCTGCGGGGCCTCTCTGGGTGTCCTTGTGTGAGACAGGAGTTTCAGGAAGGGGGTCATTAGAGGACAGGGCTTTGCCTGGGGGGCCGCTACCAAGAAAATCGATTGTTTCACTTTCCGCGCATCGAAGGTTCATTCTGGGGCCCTAGGCCTGGTCTGCCTGTAGCCGTCCCTGGTGGGAGAAAACCTGACCGCTCAGCAAACCACAGATCTCTTCCTGTTGATATGGATGGATTCCTAATTCATTCATGCGAACGGGAAGAGAATTGAGCTCCATCCATCTTCTGTAACCGCTTGTCAGGGTTTTGGGGGGGGGGGGGGCAGTCCAGAGCCTATCCTAAAAGCTTTAGGCCAGGGGTCTCAAACTGCAGTCCTGGGGGGCCGGAGCCCTGTGTAGCTTAGTTCTTTCCCCCTTTCCCCCACAAGTGATCCAGCTCAAGAGCTGTGTGGTAATTAGCACGAGGAGTTGAATCAAGTGTGTTAAATGATGGTGAACCAAAAACTGTGCAGGGCTCCGACCCCCCAGGACTGGAGTTTGAGACCCCTGGTATAGGCACAAGGCAGGGAATAATCCACACAGCATTCACTCACACATGGCACCTCCAGTTCATCGTTGCATGTTTTTGGACTCTGTGTGTGTGTGTGTGTGTGTGGGGGGGGGGCAGTTTCTCTCTCTGAGACCCCACAATGGCACATGGAGAATATGATGATGAGTCCCGGAGGTCTAAGACATCAGCGTCAGCCACTGCATCACCCACATTACGAGTCAGATTCTGGATTTATAATGTACCTGGGTTCACAAAGCCAGCCTGTATGGGCCTTTCGTAATATCATACAAACTAGCGACACTTACCTGCTTCACAGGCTTAAGTGAGACCTGAGGGCTGCAAGAGCTGCCCAGAGCTTGTTAGTACAATCAGGTATATTGCGGGTCTCTGGAGAGGAGCTGCTTATTTTTAATACGGTCAGAATTGGCTTTATTATGCAAGTCCTTTGCATGACAAGGAAGTTTTACCTGAAGATTTTAAATAAAACATGATTTAATCAAACTTACTGTAAAAAGCTAGTTGCCTCAGTCTTCAGTTTTAAAAACAAAAAAAAATGTGGATAGTACGGGTGTTTTCAATAGCCATGGAAAGTTGTGCATTATAATGCAGTGTAGCAGTGTACCTTGGCCTGTGATACAGGCTGGATGCAGTAATGAACTGTACTTTGTGACTCTGCCAGTGCACTGTCAGGGGGAATGTAATTGAGCTGACTCGCTATTGATCAGGATGCTTTCAGCAGGCCGTGTTCAAGGGGTATGTGAGTGAAGCCGCTGATTAGCCTGACTTTGAGAGATTAGGAGGTGGAAGTTCACAAACAATGAAAAGCGTGGGGGCAGCTGTGATGGATGCCCCTGCAGTGGAGCCTTTATATTTTTTACCCATTGGAGGCTGCACACTTGAACCTGGATTTTCTAACCACAAATTTTGAATTCCGGGAGAAGTTCCATTGTTGTAGCCTGGAAGTGCTCTTTTGGAACATTAGACGCATAAATTGGATAAGTGTAAAACCAATAAATGTCACTTTGGATAAGACTGTCCGATAAAGAAATAGTGTGATACAGCTATGCAATGTAATAAAAGCATTTCAGAAAATGACAATGAGCAACACGATGATTTAATTCAGTCTGCTAAGGTTTTCAAAGAAGCCGTAAACCAGCCTTCAGCTGGGTTAAAGTGAGGTGTTTAATTTGCAGTGTAGATGTCTCTTGTGAATTTGGGAATGATTTGAAGATGCTAGCTGCTCTGCAGGTGGACGTGATGAGTTGGAGCGATGATGTCTGTTTTCCACTGGCCCTCCGTCGACCCCTTTCCTTACTGGACAATGAAATGACACGCGATCCCTTTTGCTAGTGTTCAAAGTCTGTTTTCATCCTCTGTCATCCGGGGTGTAATTGGGACTCCCGGCGCGCTGTCATCCTTCTTTCGGCACTCTCCTCGTCTCTCTGCGATGGCGGAAAAGAAGTTGAACGTCAATAGAGGTGCAGCGCTGTGGTGTAATGTAGAAGTTGGGCGCTGTTGTGTAATGTAGGAGTAATGTAGGAGTTGGGCGCTGTGGTGCATTGTAGGAGTAATGTAGGAGTTGGGCGCTGTGGTGCATTGTAGGAGTAATGTAGGAGTTGGGGATCGATAACAGGCTGCCAGCCTTTAACTGCTGCAGGATTTCCACATCAATTTGCCCAGCTGTACGTACTAATTTCTGTGTTGTCTTGATTTCAATTTTTGTTCACATGACCATATCAAATTATGACTGCATGCTTAAAGTACATCTTGCACAAAGTATTTACAGTAAATCTATATGTTTGAGCTGACTCGCTATTGATTTGGAAACTTCTTTTCTCTTCTTATCTTTTAAGAATGGACATGAAGATGCACTCAAACTCCATTCTTTGTTTCCTTAGTGCTTTATCAGCCTATCAACTCATCTTCTGGGGGAAACACTTCCAGTCACAAATTAGCTTCGCCAGCCCATGATTCCTTGTGATCGCCATGGATACCGAGTTTTATTTTCTCTTTTGATAACTGGTTTTGTTGCACTGACAGTGCGAAGTAGATGTTTGTATGCAAATCCGTGTTTCATAAAGACAACTAAATGTTCAGCCTGGTTGAAAAAAAGTGTTCTTCTCAAAGGCTTCAGCAAAGAGTATAATGATTTGGAAAAAACACTTATCCTTTTATATTTCAGGTTTTACATTCTCTGTTTAGCTGCTCGCTTTGATAAGGCAGGCGTTGGCTGCACGGAAGGCAGGCCTCTGAGCCACATCCGGAGCAGCACACGGCCAGCGGGTTCCTGAGACAGCAGAAAGCAGAGGTAGGAGGCCTCTGCACTTTATTCACAGGGACTAGCATCTACTCGTATACCTAGTGACCACCTAGTCAGACAGCCTAAGGATAAAGGGTAAAGTGGACTTTTTCTGCTAGGAATGAAACCTGAAAGCTGGGTGCATGCTAGGTTCCCTACTGAAATTGGGTGACTAGCTGCAAATTTATCCCCAAAATGGGCAAGTGTGTAGCAAACCCCAGTCCCCACCTTCCAGGTCCCAGTAAGGGTGGACTGCTGGGCATAGTGAGAGATGAGGTAGCGGCCTCAGAAAATCCTGGTGTCTCGGGCCCTGGGAAGATGTTCTACATTGTGAATGTGTGACAGGTTGCTTGTTGTTGTAGATTAGATTTTCTGCTTTTCCCGCTTCAAACTGACTTTGATAACTCAGCCCCAGCTGAACGTTATGTTAGTAGAAACTTGTAAAACTGAGTGACTGTCAGTGGTAACACTTTACTTAAGGCCATGTTTTTAGTCATTTATAAACACATTCATAACAAATAATAATGCATTCATAAAGCATAATAATGCATTCATAAAGCATTATAAACATGGCTATAAACATAAACATTCTTAAAGCATATGTTAATAATGCTTTAAGAATGCATTAAAATGCATTTTAAATGTGTTTATAAATGACTAAAAACATGGCCCTAAGTAAAGTGTTACCACTTCAGCTTGCACACTCCTTACACCAGAAAACCCCACGCAAGGCGAGCTTCATTTGCAAATATAGTAGAAAGAGTAAAATAAGACCTTCTAATTATGGGCAATCAGAGATTATGATCCAGGTCATGACACTGGTTTAAGGAGGTCAGAGCTGATCGAAAATGTTATGAAATTCCTCCGTGAACTGAGCTCAGTGTCCAAAGAATGTCGAGAAAAGAGAGGACGCTGTCCCATGATGTGCTGCTGTTGGCCCCCATCAACGGGGCACGTTAAGTAACGACCAAGTGCAAAAACTTCTGTATGTGGAGTTTGTTTGTCTTCCCAGCGTTGCATGTGTTTAGCCTGGTTTAATTCTGCAGTCCAAAGACATCCATTTGGGCTAACTAGCATCGCTAAAGTGCGTGCATATGCTGTATGATGACCCCAGGCTGCCTGAGATAGACTTCAGGCCCTCTTACCACCCAGTTCAGGATAAGTGACTGGAAGATAGATGGGCATAGTAGAGTGATTTAATACGGGAGGCTGCATGAAGCATTTTATAGTGTTAAATATCTTGAAAGATTGATCTGTTTATGTAATGAAATCTGTGTAATATAATAAAAACATTAAGTGTATAATTGGTTTTGACACCTGGTCACTTAATGCTGGTGTCCTCCAGGTGGTTCATTTTTTTATCCACAGTCCAAAGTCTGGTGAATTGGTGACTCTAAATTACCCATGGTGAGAGGCTGAGTTAATGCATGTCTGTGCAAGTCTCGACTGGTGATGTCGTCCTTAAAGCTGTACCCTGAGATGGTCACTAGAACACGGTGACCTTGACTGAATAAGCCCACATTGAAAAATAGATAAGATGCAATGAATGGATATTATACATCTTGCCATATTGTCTTGCATGCTTTCAAATGTAATTTTAGGAAAACGCCATCTGTCCTCCCAAATTGGTCTGGAAGTCGGTGTTGCCAGGACTCTGTAGCTCTGCATCTCCCAGCACTGTAGACTCTCCCATACTGATGAGTCTGTTCTGCATGTATTGATGCATTTTGCGCAGTTGTAATCCTTCCATGGCCAGTTATGATAATCTCACTCCAGCTTCATAATTATGATAAATGGGTGGACTTTGGGTCTGCTACCTTTGTCCACGTTTCTGGTTTTGTTCATAATGCACTGACAGACAGACAGAGACCACAAAGTTATACTGTTTGAAGAGGCTGGTAATGAGGCTTTGTGAGATGTTTTCCCTGGATAAGCAATTTGAACACCAGCAGAGGAGCAGATACTGTCTTCAGCCACAATTATGGGAACAATATCTGCGCACTGCTTTATATTACATTACACTTTGTACACTTTATTTGCTTAGCAAAAACTGTTTTGACTGGCGATATTATGTATTTATATCACTGGGTGTTTAATGTAGCCGTTGGGGTTATGCATCTCCATGGCAATAATATTTCTAAAAATTCCAATATAGAATTTTACAATGACACCAACCATCTAACTTCTTTGTCATCTGCTGCCTGCGTTGTTGTGTTCTTAATGTAACTGGATTATTTAATGTTTCCTGACATCAGTTGCTATTTATAATACATAAGTGATGAGTTTTCCCTTTTTCCCTTTTTCCCTTCCTTCTGGGCTTCCTCTCATCACTTCCTAGAATAGGCATTTTTCCAGCGTTTGAAGCACGGAAAATAGTGATGCTATATGAATGTATTGCATGCATTATTTGGTGTTTTCTTCTGAGATAAACAGGTGAGAAACCAGTTCCATATGATACTTAAGAGTAGCTTAAAAATGTTTGGGTGATATTCTTAGTCTGTAATTTTGTAACTGTTAGTATTTTTACATGAGAACGTGGCTTGTTTAATTTAGAATTTAGAATCCTTGCCGTAATCATGTAAAGTATTTACAGTCTTTAATACCTCAAATAAATATTTGTTTTTGTGACAGTTACTCAAAATTTTGAACCTTCTTATATATAAGCTCTATATGAAGACATTTTTGAACTCAACACTGCTGTGATGTTTTTGATATTATATCTGTTTTTGTTAGTAACACCCATTGCTGTTATGCACAAACCAATCGATAATGCATAAATATTTTAGAAAAACCCTGCAGGAAACATACTCTGAATTACTGCTGTGGCAAGGAAAAGGCCTTCAAACTAAGCAAGAAGTTATGGATGTCGTTCGAGATTTTTGTTTGAGTATGTTTCTTAATTTAATGCGGTTTACAGAAGTACTCTCTTTGATTTGCTGTCCCAATCTGCATCAGCAAACAACAAATGGAATGTGTCATAGCTTTAATTTAATGGCTTTTATAATTAACTTATGAATCTTGCGCATTTTTCTCCAGCTTTCTGTAGTATAAATCCCACTCGTCGTCTCCTGGCCTTTGTCCCTCTCTCCCTAGCTGGAGGCGGAAGCGGTCGTCATGGCGACTCCGGAACCTCTGACGCCTCTCTCGCGCTGGTACCTCTACGCCATCCACGGCTACTTCTGCGAGGTGATGTTCACGGCCGCCTGGGAGTTCGTGGTCCACTGCAACTGGAAGTTCCCCGGCGTCACCAGCGTGTGGGCTCTCTTCATCTACGGCACGTGCATCCTGATCGTGGAGCGCATGTTCCTGCAGCTGCGGCACCGCTGCCCGGTTCTCCTGCGCTGCGTCATCTACACGCTGTGGACGTACCTGTGGGAGTTTGGCACGGGGCTGCTGCTGCGCCAGTTCGACGCCTGTCCGTGGGACTACTCCCAGTTCCGCTACAACTTCATGGGCCTGATCACCGCTGAGTACGCCCTGCCCTGGTTCTGCGCCTCCTTTATCGTGGAGCGGCTGGTCATTCGCAACACGCTGCGGCTCCGCTTCGACGAGCACGCTGACCTGGCCGGCGACGACTGCCTCTCAGCCGTGGCCGGGGGGGGCGCAGGTACCGCCAATGGGTACGTGAAGGTGGACTGAGGGTTGACCCCCCACCCTGGCTCCCTTCTCCCTCGCAGACGCCCCGATTCCTTACACCTGCTGTGCTGGGGAGAAGAAGCGCCTTGGAGTCTGGGGTGGGGAGGGACAGCCTCAAACGAGAACCTTCGTTGAGGTTCCGGTCCACCTTGTTTTTGCAGGAAGAACTATACAGTCCGACATTATTCGTTCGTACCTGTCCTAGAGACAAGCAAGGGGGCAGCAAGCCCCCGCCACCGTGAAAAGAGTGAAGGGAATGCGGATACAAAGTTGTATCTGATTGGATGACATAGAACCTCAGCAACAAATTATCTATAGTTATACTGGAAAAAGATATATGCATTCAAAAGAATATCAATCTTTTAGAAGAGTAGCGTAGTAAACTTGGCAAAAATATTCTAGTATGAATTTTTAATTTTTGGAGATGTATGTATTATTTATTAATATTTATCAAAAGCAGCTTGTAGCTTCAGATTGTTGATATGAGGTAAATATTTACAATTTACTCAGATTCCATCCACAATCAGTGCTTAATACTTGAACTGAGTCTCCAAAATATATTTTTTCTTTTTAAAAACAAACAAAAAAAAAAATTATGGAACCTTTGATGCTTGAAAATGCATGGCATATGGTAAGGTGATCCCCCATTTTATACGCCAGGATATTTGAAAACGTTCAAGGAAGTTGATAGATTTTTTTTTCCCGATAATTTTTTTGAAATCGTGAAGGTGTGGTGTAACAACAACAATATAGCAACAACAACAACACACAACAATAATAATAATAATAATAAAATAACCCAAGATCAGGAGTGTGTTACTTAGGTAAATTAAAATCATCACAGGAGAGGAGAGGGAAACACAAAACATATAATGTTTTGGTTTCAGGAATATTATGTCAAGATGATAGAGGAAGCAGCTCCTATAACCGTAAGCAAAACAATGGTGTTTCAGTTGTTTCTATCAAGTCCCAGTTCTACTCAAGGTGAATAACTGCTTTAGAATACCTAGTGTAATCTACTCAGTACCTGTAGTAACTACTGAACCAGTTAATGAACTTGGATAAGTTTTAAAAACATATTGTTTTAGTGCTGTGACTTAGGTGAGTTCTGAACATCCTGTAAAATTTAAGAACATGATTGTCTCTTGTCTGGATAACAACCAAATACTGTCATTCCCAATAATTGGTCTTGATTTGATCTCTTTGACTATGGATTTCTCCAGATGGTTCTCAGGTTTAAACCAGGTTTAATGATTTAGGCACTTTCTAATAACATGCTCTGTAAAACGCTTTGTCCACTTTATTAATTCCAGGGGACTTTAGGACAGCATCTTAATTAGCCCGACCACATAACTGTTTGCTTGTATTCTGTGTCTCTTTTAGCGTGTTGTGTTTTGTCTCATTTTCACCCCTTTGGTCCCTTAGGGAGTGTTTTATGTGGTGTTTTGCATTTTGCTGTTTCAGGCAAGTTAGTAAAAACAATGAGAACAGGCCAGCTTTATTCCCAGAATCCACTCTCACATGCCATTTCCCATATTCTGATGTAAAATTTTTGTTGTTTGTTGTTCTGTTGGCTTTTGAAGTTTGTCAAACTTGCTGAATGAGTTCCTGTTCTCATCTTAGCTGTTGTTTGGATGTTAACTTCACTGCCAATGCCATCTAACTTACTAGACAGTTACATCTTCCTTTGTGTGTGTTGCAAATATGGTGGTCATGTCTGGAAAACTCTTACTGTAGGGCTGTAAAGCCCTGTGAGAATCACACATTACAGACATGTTTTTATTGGATGGATATTTACTCACAGAATAATCTAATGTATTTCATGAAATTATCTTTCAACAGAGCAATATTAGGGAAAAAGATATTTTCAAATATTTGTTTTTGTTTAAACTGGGGGGAAACTGTGCATGTACGACAGAAAAATGGCTTCTTCAGTATTATTTCTGTAATGATAAATTGGTTGGTTTAAATGAAAATTTCATATAGTGTTTGCATTTTTCTTTGAGGAGTGCAGATATTTAAAGGCTGTGGTGAAACACAAATACGATGCTGTGTATATGAGTTTGTGTGTGTATGAGTGTGTGTGCGTGTGTTTTTATTTTTTGGAATAAAATGATTAAATTAATCTTTGTCTCAAATAAATCACATACTGTACCAGCAAGTCAGCTGGTTGTCATCCTGGCTGAAAAAGTAAAGAGTTTCATTTAATAAGGATATTTGTTGTAAATCTCATAAACCATTAGCAGGGTGCTTTGGTATCTCTGAGGGCATATGTGACACTGCAGATATGTGTCTTTCCCTGTTAAATATACAGTACCAATCAAAATATAGGACATGCCAAGCTGCCTACACATGTTATAGGGTCTCATCACATGACCTGTCACCTAGACACGGTTGAGAGTGCAGGAAAAGCGGCCAATGAGAGCTCAGCATATATGAGGGACCTCCTTCAGGACGGCTGGAAAAGCATCCCAGGAGGCCACCTCATGTAACTGGTGTAGAGGAGAGAGTAGGATCAGCCAGTGCCTGGAGCAACTGGGGTTAAGGGCCTTGCTCAAGGGCCCAGTGGGGGCATCACTCTGCCGACCCTGGGATTTGAACCGACAACCTTTTGAATCCTCCCCCCCCCCAACAAATGTATTTATTTATGGTCAGTGCATAATTCCATATATCCATATATGTAGTTTTATAGTTGTGATATCTATATAATTATTCTAAAATGTAGAGAATAGTAGAAATAACCCTTTCTATGGGTAGGCGTGTCCAAACTATTGACTGGTACTATGCTGTGGGCAGCCCTAAGGATAACTGTCTGACCAGGACTGCTGCCCCCAAAGCTAATTGCCTGGAACCCCAGGGAAGACGACTGGCCGCACTGCAGGGAGGGTTGCGGCCGCGCCCCCCCAGCCTCGCCATCTGATTGGCCCTGTGCTCTCTCCCTGCCGGACCCTTCCTCCCTGTCCCAATAGCCCTGATTAAGCATTTCATTTACCCAGCAGATGCTTTTATCCAAAGCGACGTAAGAGTCCGGATCAGAGACCAAGGTCAGCCAGTCCCCTGAAGCGATTGTGCTTAACAGCCTTGCTCAAAAGCCCAGTGGTGAAACTGCACTGCCAGCCACAACGTTTGAACTGGCAACCTTCTGGTCACTGACGTTAACCCGCGGAGCCACTCGCCACTACCACAAATACGCGCGATCACACAGCACTGACAACCTGCCCCCACCGCTGTAGGAACTAGGAACCCCAGTTTGGGGCCCATTTGTACCTAATGAAGTTCATTTTTGATGACATACCTCACCGTGCCACTAGTGGGTGCTCAGCATGGCCTGCCACGCCACAAGGGGCACACAGGCAGCGTTCCGCGCTATGCCCTGGCTAGTGAAGGAGGACTATGGCAGCCTCAGGTTCTATCTTTATATTTAAATGCTTTTAAGGTGTACTGTAGATCAGTACCAGAGAACCTTGTATGGACCAGGGCAATGTTTCCTAACCTGGTCATCGAGGACCCAAAGATGTCCGCCTTTTTGCTTCCTCCCAGTTCCTGCGAAATGCGGACCATCGGTGGGTCCCTGAGGACCGGATTGGGATTGGGAAACATTGAACTAGGGTGACTGGGACCCACCTTGGGAATTGGGCATAGAGGTGTTGTTCGGTATTGAGCTCTTGCTCCCTGGGCCATGAAAGTATCCCATCTGGACTCAGGACAAAATGTCTATGTGTAGGCATCTCTTGGGCTCAGAGCCAGCAAGCTGAAGGCTAGGAGTCGAGGGAAGTGCCTTTAGGGAGGCAAAAATGAGTAGGAAGAACCCAGCTGGATTGCATATTGGAGAAGAGAGTTTCAGCAGAAAACTTATAATCTGTGTGTGAACTGAAAAGGAAGCCCTGAGTACCAATCCTTCTCGCACAAAGTAGGTGAGGATCTCGAAAGGGTAACTCCAACGGACTCAATGTCCACTTCAATGCATATGGGGAAACGATGGATATGATTGGAAAGAACAGTCCACCTGATCTACACATGAACAGGGAACCGTTACTGGACTTCTGTGCAAGATATAGATACACCGTGTCTGAGTACAAGGATGCTCATAGTTGCACTGAATTATCTGACTTGCCACTGTGCGTTTTGAACGGCAGGGTGAAAAGAGGGGCAGCGCTATCAGCAGATCTCCACTTTGTGGTGCTTCAGATTCAACACATGAGCAGGAGGTAGGCTGGGTCAGGGAGGCCTGAAACAGCAGCTAGCTTTTGCAAAAATCTCCTTCGGAGACTGCGTGCCAAGTTGAATAGACCGTGTTCAAGGTCTTGTGAGTCAGCAGAAAACACATCAACAGACCAGGAAAGCTGCAGTGTCAGAGGTAAAAGCTCATGGGAGAATGTTGGAGCGACTATGGAGAGAAACTAGCGGGAGGCCCAAAGATGATTTGTCAAACCATTCAGCGCTTCAGGAGAGGGAGGTGTGGCCTTTCCTCATACTGTGTTCAGCAAGAGTGTTGAAGTGCTGACCAACATATTGTCAAGTGGCAGAAGGAACACTTTGAAGAAATCTATAACCCAGTCAATATTTTCTCACACCAGCAATGCTGGAATCTCCTAGTGGATGAAAGTCACTACAGCTGAAATTGCTTTGGTGGTCAGAAGCCTCCGTGGCAGAAATGCTGAAGTGTGAGATGAATCCATTTAGAGGTGCTGACGCTTGCTGCACTTAATTCAGTGCTGCCTGGAAGGTGGGTTAAGTACCTCTGGATTGGGAAACAAGGCCAGTGGTCCTTAAAAAGTGGACCAGAGTCGTGCTTTATATCACAGGGGGATTAGGGTACAGAAGAAGAGAATTTGCCTGATAGTTCAACCTGGGATTCAAGAGAAAACATGCAGATCCCAGCCTCGCTGGGGAACAATGTAGCAACTCTTCCTTTGCTTGATTGTCTGGGGTTCATTGGAATCTGCTAACACAATCTACATCAGCTTTGTGGACTTGGAGAAGGCATATGACTGCCAGCCCCAGCACATCCTGGGGCTACTCCTATGTGCTCTTTTCCCCACATGAATGTAATGCGCTGATGCAGTGACTCTGTGGGTTGCACTATTGCTTCATATTTCCTGGACTGGGCTTTGGAATTTTACTCTGTTTGTGGAGTTTGCACACTCTCCCTGTGTTGCACTTGATCCTCCAAGTACACTGGTTTTCTTCCTCAGTTGAAAAGACATAATTAGTCTAGCTGGTATCTCTAAATTGCCCATACTGCGTGAAGGTGTGTGAGGGGGATGACTCAGCCCCTTAAGTGCAGTGGACTGGCATTGACTTGGGTGTTCCCCTGTCTTGGCATTGCGGCCCCTTCTGCCCAACAGTGCCCAAGATGGGCACCAGGCCTTCTGTGCCCCTGCTCAGGATAAGTGGCAATTATAAGATGGATGTACAAATCTAGTAAGATTCATGTCTGCATCCTTAGCACGATGCAGAGCTGATCTCTGTATTGTCTAAATTCCTGTTTGTATCTTCCAGGGACAGGATATCACGGTATTGCCTATAGGATTTCCTTAGGCCCTGTGACAGGGTGAGCCAATCCCAGCATGCAAAGTGTGCGACAAGGAAACACACTAACATCAAGTTAGCAACTACATGCATGCATGTAAGCTCCACCCAAGCTCTGCATGGGGGTAAAGCTGCAATGCTGTCGTTGATGGCATTCAAATAAGAAATGATTAGACAAATGATTGCTGAACAGTGACACCTTGAGGCACACTTCTGTAATGCATTTACACAGCTGGGATGGGGGGGAAAAAATGCCAGACCCTGACTTTTTGTGACAGTGCCACGCTGAGTGCAGCTACAGTGTACAGAAAGCTGACCTTTAATCAATGAGTCTGCTGTGCTGCTGTCCATAAGATACGATGGATCTCTTTTGGTTGTCAGCACAGGCTTCGAAAGCAGATTCATGAGTCAGAGCTCTAAATGAAAGCAAGGATAAATGTTTGTGTACCTTGGCCATCTGTTAGACTATTTTCAGAAGCAAACAGTGATATGTGTTTGTGTGAAATGCAATGCAAGCAGGGCATTTCGCTAATGAAAGCTTGTCCTTGATCCTAAAGCATTTTCTGAATGCTGGGGGGGAGGGGGGTGTTATGCTAAACCGGTACCACTAGGTGGCGGTATCTCACTGCAAAATCACTGCAGAGTGCACAGTGATCCTGGTTTATGGGGCCCCTCTGCTTATGCTAGTTTTTGCTCAAGGCAACATAATAACTGCACTTCATGAATGTGTTGACTAATTCAAACTAAAATTTGTATAGCATAGTATGGTTAGCGGATCAATTCTTCATCAGTTTAATTACGTTAGTAAGCTGCTATGGTTAAGGTGCCTCTGAGGAGAGGTCAGGGAACTGAAGCAATGCTCTTCTAGGCATCTAATGAGGTATCTGTGGCTTTCTGAAGAACAGAAGGGGTTTTCATTACTTTTATCATGTGATAATTGTTATTTGCATGTATACTGTACATATACACACACAAGACAGACCACACCAAAGGAGGATCGCCGTATTGTGTGCCAAGCAGTACAGAACCCCATGACATCTGCGCCTGCCATCCGGACACAGGTATTGGACTCTCTACAACAGTCCGGGTCATCCTGCACCGTGTGTCAATGACTGCCGTCACCCGGAATACGGGTTCACAGTCCCATGCATAGGCTGCCGTTAACACCAGTGGTGCCGTAACTGGGAGGCATGGACCGATGATGAGTGGCATCGTACCGTGTTCAGCGATGAATCTTGGTTCTGCATTACCAAGGATGACTGTCATGTGCATGTATGGCAGCACCGAGGGGAGAGGACCGGTCCGGAGGGGAGAGGACTGGTCCGGAGGGGAGAGGACCGGTCCGGAGGGAAGAGGACCAGTCTGGCCAATGCTGTCGAGAGACACAGCGGCGTTACTCCCAGCATCATGACAACACCCGTCCACACATGGCACATGTGTCTACGGACTGCCTGCGTCATGCTGAGGTCCTCCCGTGGCCAGCCAGGTCCCCCAATCTTTCCACAATCGGACATGTGTGGGATCAGCTCAGACATCAGCTCAGACCCAGAGCCAGTCTGCAGGATCTTCAGGGCCAGTTACAGCAGCTGTGGG